GCTGCTGCCGCCCACCGCTGACGCGTTTCCTCTCTGTCTCTCTCCCTCTCTCGCATTAAGCATGTTTCCTCCACACCACCCTACTACTTGCCATCATCGAACCCACTCTGTCTCTTTTCCACCGGCGCTCGTTTACCTTCTCCCCCTATCGCTTTGTACCTATCTATTTCTGTCTGTCTCTGTTCCACCTACGTGAATTCTCTCTCTGTCGTGCACACTGGGAACAGTGCCCCTGGCACATACTAACAACACTCCTGGGCTCTCTCTCGCTTCGCCTCCATCGCTGACGGTGACTCTCTCGTGGTTGAGGCCAGGCATACTGATGGAAAGTACCGAGCGAATCATGCACTACCGCTGGCATTGTAAAGTTTTCAACTTTGAAGCGTTTGACGTTCCTGCGAATGGAAAAATTCTACTCATGATTTTACGTTTTCGAGAATTTTAATATTCTTTCTCTTCCCCCTTTCGCTGATACTTGCTCGAGAATTTTTTATTGTCATATTGTTTTTTTAATATCCATTGCCATGGATGGAACGAATTCTCGTACGATCAATAAAATAGCACGTATTCGTTCTACTTGGTATTTATAGGTTTTACAATAAATACAGGTATTCCAAAAATTTCAGGTATATCCATTCCCCGAAGGCTCGTAAAGCTGTCCCTTTTTCACCCCGGGGCCATTGTAGGTAGAAAGTTGGGATTATCATTGTTTGAATAATGTATGGACTGATCCCCGGAAATGTGCACAAATTGAATATTTATAATTGAAATATTGATTTTATAGATAATTCCACAGGGAATAATTTTCATTTCTCTCTTTATTGTCTCTGTATCAATGGGCTGTTGGATATTGAATTGAAAAATAATATTCTACCGGCGGTGAGAGAATTATATTGGAGCTTGGGTTTTTTGAAGTACAGGCCTGGTGGAACTTGAACTCGAGGCCGAGGAAGGGGCCGTCGGGTTTTCCACTCTGTTTGCCCGCCTACCAGGCGGCCATAAGCCCGCAACATGGCCGTCGACGCACCGTTATATTCCATGGCACATCAGCGGAGAGAGAAGCCCTCGTAGAAGGCGGCCCCCCTTATACAAAGCAACCAACTGAGCCCCCTCGTTCCCGCAAGCGTTTGAAATTCAACCCCGCACACTTGGCCTCATCCACTTTCTACACAGGGTTGCCAGACGTACTTCTACAATGATTTTTTTTTTTCTATCAGGGGGGCCTTTTACATTTTTACATCACAAAATGTGAAGACAAAATTTGAAAATAGGCATTTTACAGGGATATATATCTGTCGTCCTCTCGTGCTGAGAACAACCGCTTCACTTCACCGCAGTGAGAACCCCTCTTTGTTGAGCTAACCTCAATTTCCGAGTGCAAACACGCTCTCTCTCCTCGAATTGTACTTTCAGTATATTTATTGTTCAATTGAATTTCGAACAAAGAGTACGCAAGAAAGTCCAATCGCATTCAATTTTTTTTTCGCTATTCATTTTGCTTCCTTCTTAATTATCGAATTTTACTTAGAATGTCAGTGGTATTTTTTTATTCTCAGCCCTCGTATCTTCACTCAGCCATACCACGATAACGTGCGCCCAGTGGCTCTCAACTCGAGGCATACTCGATAATCTCTACTTTCCGCTCGGCGTTTCACTCTGTATTGAACTGTTGACTGGATTTTATTCCACCAACTTTTATGAGTGTTTCCGTTGCACAAAAAATATTTGTTTTCCCGGAAATCCCAACGGCTTCTAAATAAGTTGAATTGGCCATCGAGGCTGAATAGAGAAATACTAGATGGGGGAACAGTTGTTTTTCAATTTTCATCGCGATTGGAGAAGCACTTGAAAAACTTCCTCAAGAAGTATCTCCGCGTGTTGAATCTGGCTGTGCAATTGAATCACTGTATATCCACTCTCTTCTCTCCCCCACATCCCCCGTCCACCGTTCTTGAATGCCATGTGCTTTCATACCCCACTTGAGAGTGTGACCCTATCGGTTACTAATTGCCTGCTGTCAGCAACAGGTCAATTTCAGATTCTCAACTTTAGCATAATCAACCCTTCCCCCCTCCCCGCGCGTCCCGGAAATGAGCGTTTCCCTTTTTTTTCTTCCCACCCATAATTACGAATGAGTTATTTTCATCAGTGAAAGGAGAGGAGAATTTCCAACGTCGTTGTGATAAAAGAAAAAGCCCAATCAAGTCGTAAGAAAATCCCCCAGAGGATGTTACTTTTTTTTCCATTTGCTTTCCCCGCGTTACTCCCAGCTGAGTAACTATACACCCAATGAAAAAATGAAAGAAGACGTTCTACTCTTATTTATCTACTTCTTCACTAGTAAAACGTCACTTTCAATGCGACCACGTGTTTCTTCCACTTATAAAGAACAAGGTGGCAGTGCAGTGAATAGAAAGGGGGGGGAGGGCGAAAATTCGCAATTTCTCAGTCTC